AGTGGAGGGCGTAGCAAGAGGGTGAATTGCTCAGTCTGGCCTGGTGGCATTGTTTTATTAATGATCTGGACGAGCAGAGGAACAGTGATTTTAATTAAATTTGCCAGTGATATTAAAAGATGGCAAGAGCCACTGCTGAGGACACAGACACCTTGCAGAAGGCCCTGGGGGGCATCAGAAAAATAAGCCAGGAAAGAGACAGGAGGTCGTGGGCTGAGCCAAGGCATCACTGGGCTGAGGGAGAAAAATTCAACATGGGGACAGAGGGCTGTCTTGTGCAGAAGGGATTCTAGCCCCTTTTTGTCTGCATCTCCTCCATTCCCAGTACATTTTGAACTCATCTTCCTGCTCCAGTCATGTCTTCCTTGCAGCCATCTTAAGCCTTTGGTGGAATTGATTTTTCTGAAATACAAATTGGACCATGTCATTCTCCTGTAAAATCCTATCATTGCCTTTTCTCTGTCCTTAGGATAAAATCCCATCTTCTCAGCCTGGCATGGAAGACTTGCCATGAATGGAGACTTTCCTGCTGTCTAGCCTCTTCTTCTGAATCCTTTTGCCCACATTGGATTCCTTCTAGTGATTTATTTATGTTTATTTTGTGTGTATGAGTGTTTCGCCTACATGTATGTAAGTGCACCTGTGTTGTACAAACCCTGCGGAGGCCAGAAGTGGGAAATGGAGCCCCTGGAACTGGAGTTACAGATGGTTGTTAGCTGCCACGTGGGTGCTGGGAACTGAACCAGGTCCTCTGGAAGAATAGCCAGTGCTCTTAATCACTGAGCCATCTCTCCAGTCCTACTGAATTTCTTCTAATCCCAGGCACACAGCAGGCTTTCTCATGTCTCCATGACTTTTCTTGGGGTGTTCTCTTTGACTGGAATGACTTCTCTTTTCCTTCCTTCCTTCTCTCTCTCTCTCTCTCTCTCTCTCTCTCTCTCTCTCTCTCTCTCTCTTTTTTTTGCTCTCCCCCCCTAAAGCTCACTCATGCTTGAAAATTCATTTCAGGAATCACATCCTTCAGAATTCCTCCCCAAATCCCAAGCTGGCTCAGCACCCTCCCCAAGTACCCACAGCATTCTGGCTTTACCTCCACTTTTTTATAGTAAAACTATTCCTGTGTCTATCTCTACTCCTGCTCAAGTGCACCTTTGTGGGAGAACACTGTGTCTCATTTTTCATTTTACCCACTGGCATCTAGTCCCAGCCTTGGCAACTCACAGGCTTTTGTCAATATTTGTCAAACAGAATGATGAGAAGAATAATATTCAGGTGGGAGATGGAACCAGGCAGCCAGAATTGCCCTGTAAGTCTGGGGATGTTGCAGCTCTGTCATATAGCGGGTGCCTCCTATGTGGGTACAATGACATAGCCACGTTGATAAGTCCTCACCAGACCAGATGCTGACTGTGGCCATTGATGCTTGACAAGATGGGACTTTTGGTAAATCTGATGGTCAAAAATCATACATTTTATGTCATCACTGTATGTACGTTAACTATATTAACAATTCTTTGCCTTATGCATCAAGTGAGTCATTTAAATAAGACTTATTTTTCTCCAAATTGTAAAATGGGGATAAAAATGTTACTAATCTCATAGGTTTTATTGTAAAAGCTAAAGTTAGTATGATACATGCAGTAAATATTATTAATATTAATCACTATCAATATCTTTTTTATTTGGGGCAGTCTTGGAGGAGTTTTGAGTTGAGTCCTACCCCTGAGTCTGGGTTTTTAAGAGACTGAGGAGATACCCCAGGATGTTGGACTCTGTTTCATTTCGTATTTAAGCCTAGAGCAATGGCATAAAAAAAAGATAATTGGCTTGGTTATCAGAGCTGTCCCCTTCCCTCTAACAGCTCTACCTCCAGCCAGAATCCATTCATAGTAGGGCTAGAAAGAGCAAATAGATGCTCAGAGGAGCCTCCATCTTCAACTCCAGACACCAGCATGGGTGATTACTAGCCAGCTCCCCTTTCTGCCTTTTCCTTCCATTCCTTCCTTCGGCTTATTTGTTTTCTCAGGGAACTAGCCTCTGATTCTGGCCCAGCGGCAGCTCATTTCCCATGAAGACCTGGCACTGCAATGTGTTTATAAGGCTGAGAGGGAACAAAGACCACCACGACCCTCCTGTATGTAGGATAAGTAGATGCCCATCCCCTGTTAATCAGGAAAACTACCACTGTGATGTCCCATGTTCTTTCACTTCCCTCACATGTGGGTGTCCACTCTCTTGGGACTGCCACCTTCTGCTACCCTTTGGGCCCTTGATTAAAGAGCTGCTTCAGCTGTGCCCACCTCCATCTCCTCCTGAATGAAGCATATGAGAATCCACCAAATCAGGTTTTCTAAAGAAAAGGCAAGAAGCCAAAAATCCTTCTTTGCCCACATTTCCCCAGGGTGAATGAGTATCAGACTTATGAATGGGACTCTCTGTGTGCATCACAGCTCACGAAGACAGTCTCAACCTCTGAATGTGATACTGGGCATCATCAAGTGCCTGCTCTTCCACAGTCATCTCATGACGCCTTCTCTGAGGGAGGTCAAAGGTAGAGACTACGTGCCACTGATACGATGGTGCCTGGGCTAATGGGGAATGTGAGCCTCAGCACTTGGCTGCTATTCTAGGCAATATGAAACAGAGTTAATCCATAGTCTTGGAAGGAAGACCTTTGTAGCTATGGCATGCACCCCAGTGTGCTTTGTCCTGGAGGGAATTCCTCTCTGAGGGTGAGCTTTGGAGAATTTAAAGAGAGCCTATGCAACCTCTAAAATCTAGTCAGGATTTATCTTTGAGGTCTTTATATATTTCCAAAGCAGTTAGCTACAATTTAGGTCATAAAATGGTTTTAAGAAGGCTGATATCCCAGGAAGCATTTTGGTGGTCACATTTATTCATTTTCAAAGCTTGCATTTACTGACCTCTGCTAACGACTGGGATACCACAGTAAATAGAAGAGACATGGTCCTTGCTCATATGTCATCACAACTTAATGTAGGAGTAAGTAAGACATTAATCATTTAACACTACAAATAAATGCACAATTTCAAAAGTAAAAATATGCCACACAGGGAAAGTAAAAAGCCCAATGAAAGGATATAACAAAGGAAAGGGATCAGTTTTAGACGTGAGAGAAAGTTTTTGTTTGTTTGAGAAAGTGACACCTAAACTGATACAAACATTGTAGACGGAGGTGGGGTACAAAGACGAAACACTCATTTCACGTAGGAACAATAGCATGTGCAAAGGACCTGAGACAAACAATAGCTTAGTATAACCAGGGTGGAAATGGAGGGCATTATGGTTGAAATGTAATGAGAGAGTGACAGAGGGTCAAGCAAGATGAGAATGAAGGAGGTAGTTTATACAAGGCTTTGAGGATCACGGCATGGAATCAGATCTTTATACCATAAGCAAGAAAAAAAATCTACTAAAGAGCTTCAACTAGGAATGATATGCTTAAACCTGGGTTCTTTTTTTTTTTGAAGATTGCTGTGGCTCACTGGGAAGATTGCTCAGTGGTAGAGCACCTATCTGGCATGCATGAGGCCCTAGGATCTAGCATATGTGAGGCCTGGGGTTCTGGCATGGCATAATTACTATGGCTGAGTGAGGAAAGTAGTTAAGATTTACTCTATAGCGAGAGTTGGAGTGGTGATTTTGGTTAGGAGATTACTGTTCTAGGTCCATCAGGTAAGGATCGACGATGGTTTTAAAGTGTGATAGTGCTGGTTAAGGTGGAAAGGGAGCTGGTGGGATTTAGAGCTGGACAGGATATGGAACAGGAGGGAAAGGACAGCTTGCAGACTGACACCTGTTCTCTAGCACAAAGAACTGAGTAAATGGAAATGCTATTTTCAGAGGTGAGAAATAGTGGAGAAAAAGCAGCTGATGTGGAAGACAAGGACTTTTAATCCTTTAAGGTGCTGCACAAATGCAAGCTGGTGACCCTCTATTAATGGTTGCACTCCACAGAATTTTAGTAGAAACAAGTGGACAGTTGCTTTAAAAAACTGTTACATTGTTTTGTTCGTTTTTTGTTCTAGCTGAATGAACCAGTGACTGAAAGGATTTAGCACTTAAAATGTGTAGAAACCCATTGCGTCAATTGAAAATACCTTCATTTCTTCCCCCCACCCCCGTCCTAAACACATGACCAGCTCACAGTGCTTTGAGGCCAGCAGATGAGGCTGCTTCTTACCCGCAAATCTACCTCTAATTTTAAAAAAAGGAACTTAGTTGAGAGTCATAGAGTCATTCACATGTTTGCTAACACTTGGCCTTTTCCATATTTGGACTTAGAATTTGAGTGCCTGGTTGACTATCTTCCCTAACTAGTTCTAAACATATTTTAGTGGAAGACTGAGAGCTGCCATGGATAGGGTCTTGAGCACACCATTTAGAGTTTCAGCTTAGATGCAGTGCAGGCATCTAAATGCTCTGTTTTGCCAGAAGTTTCATTGGCTGCCTCTAGAAATTTTGCATTGAGGAAGAAGTTTTCGCCCATGAGAGGCTCAATTACACAACAGAACATGTTATTCTACATTGGGAAACTAGCCCACCCTCAATTCATTATGTACTCTTGGAAATCTGTGTTATTCAAGATTCTTGAGTATGAAACCAGGGCAAGGAAAGCAGAACTCTCTAGAAACAATCTAAGTGGGAACCAAGACTCAGGGCATAGGCACCATGTTTTAAGTTGATTCTAAGGGAGATTGGGACTGCAGACAGCAGTAGAAAGGTCTCCCTTGGGTTTCCATCACCAGTCTTGGCAGCTATTTCAAACCATTCTTCAACTCAGTCTCCACCAGATGGTTCTGGGGACAGAGCAGTTATTTGTGCCTCCCAATGACATCTATTTTCCAAGTGAGAGACAGCCCCATATGTCAGTGCAATATGTTGCTTGAGGTGAACCATCCGTTGTGTTGGTGGCAACCTGTCATTTGCTGCCCCCTTTTTTTTCTCATGCCTTTTCCTGCCTCTCTGTGTTTTTCTAGGTCTTGGGCCTGTCAGGAGGACCACTGGTGCTGCGGTGGAGCCAGCGTCTAAGTCTCGTGTATGGCGTGGTTACGGTTACAGCCTCTCACCTCTGCCTTCCTCCATTTTGGGCTAGTTACTTTTGTGCTCTTCCTGAATGGTCTTCGAGCAGAGGCTGGTGACTCAAGAGATGTGCCCAGTACAGGGCAGAACAATGAATCCTGTACAGGGTCATCAGACTGTAAGGAGGGTGTCATCCTGCCAATCTGGTATCCAGAGAACCCTTCCCTTGGGGACAAGATTGCCAGGGTTATTGTCTATTTTGTGGCCCTGATATACATGTTCCTTGGGGTATCCATCATTGCTGATCGCTTCATGGCCTCTATTGAAGTTATCACCTCCCAAGAGAGGGAAGTGACTATCAAAAAGCCCAATGGAGAGACCAGCACAACTACAATTAGGGTCTGGAATGAAACTGTCTCCAATCTGACCCTTATGGCCCTGGGTTCCTCTGCTCCCGAGATTCTTCTCTCCTTAATTGAGGTATGTGGTCATGGGTTCATTGCTGGTGATCTGGGACCTTCTACCATCGTTGGCAGTGCAGCCTTCAACATGTTTATCATCATTGGTATCTGCGTCTATGTGATCCCAGATGGGGAGACTCGCAAGATCAAGCACCTACGCGTCTTCTTTGTCACTGCTGCTTGGAGTATCTTTGCCTACATCTGGCTCTACATGATCCTGGCAGTCTTCTCTCCTGGTGTAGTCCAGGTTTGGGAAGGCCTTCTTACTCTCTTCTTCTTTCCAGTGTGTGTTCTGCTGGCATGGGTGGCAGATAAACGACTCCTCTTCTACAAATACATGCACAAAAAATACCGCACAGATAAACACCGAGGAATTATCATAGAGACAGAAGGTGACCACCCTAAGGGCATCGAGATGGATGGGAAAATGATGAATTCCCACTTCCTAGATGGGAACCTGGTGCCCCTGGAAGGGAAGGAGGTAGATGAGTCCCGTAGGGAGATGATCCGGATTCTTAAGGATCTGAAACAAAAGCACCCAGAGAAGGACTTAGATCAGCTGGTGGAGATGGCCAATTACTATGCTCTTTCCCACCAACAGAAGAGCCGAGCCTTCTACCGGATCCAAGCCACCCGCATGATGACTGGTGCAGGCAATATCCTGAAGAAACATGCAGCGGAACAAGCCAAGAAGAGCTCCAGCATGAGCGAGGTGCACACCGATGAACCTGAGGACTTCATCTCCAAGGTCTTTTTTGACCCATGTTCTTACCAGTGCCTGGAGAACTGTGGAGCTGTCCTTCTGACAGTGGTGAGGAAAGGAGGAGACATGTCCAAGACCATGTATGTGGACTACAAAACAGAGGATGGTTCTGCCAACGCGGGGGCTGACTATGAGTTCACAGAGGGCACTGTGGTTCTGAAACCAGGAGAGACTCAGAAGGAGTTCTCTGTGGGCATCATTGATGATGACATTTTTGAGGAGGATGAGCACTTCTTCGTGAGGCTGAGCAATGTCCGCATAGAAGAGGAGCAGCCAGAGGAGGGGATGCCCTCGACAATACTCAACAGTCTTCCCTTGCCTCGGGCTGTCCTAGCCTCCCCTTGTGTAGCCACAGTTACTATTTTGGATGATGACCATGCAGGCATCTTCACTTTTGAATGTGATACCGTTCATGTCAGTGAAAGTATTGGTGTTATGGAAGTCAAGGTTCTGCGGACATCAGGTGCCCGAGGCACAGTCATCGTCCCTTTTAGGACAGTAGAAGGGACAGCCAAGGGTGGTGGTGAGGACTTTGAAGACACATATGGGGAGCTGGAATTCAAGAATGATGAAACAGTGTAAGTAACTTTTCTGCATTGTAGCCCTCTGCACCTCATCCCCTTCCATCTTTCTGTCCTTCTGTACCACTCTTTAAAGCCCTTCCTTGTGTTTACATCAATGTCAAACTTTGGTTTCATCACAGGTATGCAGGATCAGCAGACCCTACTGGACAGGTCTTGTTTCCAAGCACTCCTTGAGTTTTCTCATTTTAAATCATTTCTGGACAGAGTCCTGTTACAGGATATAAGGACACAGATTTTTTTTTGTCCATTGAAACTCATAATGATGGGTGGTGGAGGTGTAAGGTGAAAGAAGTTTTTATAATATAAGACTTTAGAGAATGCTTGTGACCAAGCAAGAGCTAAGAGACTGCTTGGGCCACTCCTTCCTTCCCCTTTCAAGCCAAAGATTATGAGTTTGGAAGCTTCTCATTCTAGGACAGGAGCAGCCTTGTCAGAATATTCTCAAGAAAACAACTGGCATTGATTTTTCCCCCAATACCATATTGCAGTTGCATTGCATAGCCAAATTTCAGGCACTGCTCTTTCAATTTGGAAATTGAAAATTGATTGAAACTTGGCATCTCTTCACATGTCCATAAGCTGTTTTGTGGAGCAAGGCTCATCTAGCCTGGATGAGATGAGTCAATGTGGCTGGAGTACTGGAGGTATCGTGGAGAAGGACAGCTCTAGGGACCACAGCCTCCTGTCTCTAGTCTCGGGTCTAAACTCCTAATTCTGGCTATGCAGTGAAGGATACGTGTGGAAGAAGCTACATCTTTTGTGTGGGCCTCTCTCTTTCATAGTCCAGAACTGTCCTGAACTATTTCTCTACTTGCTGCCCCATTCAGCCCATCAGAACCTACAAATACTATGCTTCTGTTTTCTCTATTACCCTAACACCTCTCCTCATTGACCCTTCTTGAAAATGGGGCAGTCTGTCCTTTGCTTGAATAGATAGCTTGGAAAAAGAAAAAGAATGACTTTTCCTAGAATTTCCAGCTTATAACAGGGTCAGCTTTTCAAGGTGGCCCAGGAGGATGGGGAACCTGTCTCTGAGAATCTCTTCCATTTCACAAGCAGGAGATGGTATGAAGAACAGAAAGGGAGATGGCAAACTGTTCCAGACACCTGTTGCTTCTATTTTCAATGGGAAATGGAATTATACAGCAGCCAGCAGGGAGGAAAGGAACTCATGGAAAAGCGGGTCCATGGGCCCCAGGATAGATGCTGCAGAAATGAGTCTCTCCAGGTCCGTCCATGGGACAGAGCTCTGAAAGGGTTGGGTGCTGCTGGCAACAGAGCAGGGTGACCCAAGGGACTCTGCCTCTGCCCTTCCTCATCCCTTCTTAATAATCTGACTTTGGGCAAATCATTTAGAAACTCTGGAAGGAAACTCATATGCAGAGAATAGCAATACTCTCCTTGCCTGGAGGCAGGGTCGGATCTTTATGCAGTTCCTTCCAGCTCTAAGATCTTCTGAAACCAATGCAGGCACTCAGTGTAGGTCCTGTTCCCACTAGCTCCCCCTCCCCAAAAAAATGGAACAGGGGATTTTGTCTCCTGAAGGGAAACAGCCATTGACAAATTGATTTATTAGAGTTTTGTTTACTCATTTTGCTGGGAAGGATAATCATTTGTTAGCATAAGTAAAAACCTGCGCCTTCCAGAGAATACTATCCATTTATATGTGCTCTTGGAAGAGTGTTCATACATGCAAGTGAAGGCCAGGTTCTCACTTGGAAGATGAAATTTGTGAAATTTCACATGTTTATGGCAATGTTGGTATGTGAGAGCTTATTGTCAGGCATTAAATGATATCAGAACCACACAGTTTGCTATAATTGGGCAAACTTGTGGATCCTCCCTATCAGTATTTGTCTTCCAGTGTCATGGAAGGATAGTTTGGGGGAGAACAGAGTCTTGGCTCCCAATTTCTTCATTCTGTTAATGATTAGTTATCCACCAAGGATCTCTGAATGACCTCCTCCTCCTCTTCCTCCTCCTCCTCCTCTTCCTCTTCCTCCTTTCTCTCTCAATCTCAATCTCTCTCTCTCTTTCTCTCTCTCTTCTCTCTCTCTCTCTCTCTCTCTCTCTCTCTCTCTCTCTCTCTCTCTCTGTATGTGCCTTGGGTTTGGTGAACAATTTTATGTTTCCATCTGTCCCTTTGCACTACTTTTTGACTTCAGTATAGTTTGAACCGTTGATCTCCTTTTTATTGCAGAATAACACATCCAAGCATGCTAGTCTGTCCCCACATGGCCACCCTACTCATGGTACTTTGAACTATATTTTATAGCCAGTGTTATGAAGTAGAAGAATCCTGGGCTCTAAGTACTTTTGGTTAGAAGTCTAGCTCATCAACTGACTCAAGCACATAACTGGGGGAAATTCTATCACCTGTGATACAATCTCCATACTGATAAAAAAAATAAGAATAAATTTCACTTGCAAGGGCGATTGTGATAGCTCTAGATATTGTGTATAGTATACATGGTTTCATGATATGTGTTCAATAATGAGACTGGTGATAGTGTTGATGGATTAACAGTATCATTCAACATTATTGAGGTGATCAGGTTACTTGGGTTTCTGTGTGACCCTTATTAATGAACATGCTGATTTCCGGTTACTATGAAGAGTCCTCACCTGAACTTCTGAAATATTAGAGCCAGAAGAGACCGTTCTCTATCTTCTAGAGCACTTATTTCTTAAGTTAATGTGTTTATTAGTCACCCTGATATCTTGCTGAAGTATAATTCTGATTTAGAAAGTCTATTATAGATTGAGATTCTGCATTTCTAACAAGCTCCTCATGCTGCTGGTCCCAATTTACAGATAAAAGGATACAA